ACCAGCCTGGCCAACATGGTGGAACACCGTCTCTACTAAAAATACAAAAATTAGCTGCCCATGGTACATGCCTGTAATGCCAATTACTCAGGAAGCTGAGGCAGGAGAATTGCTTGAGCCCGGGAGACAGAGGTTGCAGTAAGCCGAGAACACGCCACTGTACTCCAGCCTGGCCAACAGAGTGAGATTCTGTCTCAGAAAAAAACAAAAACAAAAACCTACAGAGGTCGAGTGCAGTGGCTCGCGCCTATAATCCCAGAACTGTGGGAGGCCAAGGAGGGCAGATTACCTGAGGTCAGGAGTTCAAGACCAGCCTGGCCAATGTGGTTAAACCCTGTCTCTACTAAAAATACAAAAAAATTTAGCTGGGCATGGTGGCGGATACCTGTAATTCCAGCTACTCAGGTCGCTGAGGCAGGAGAATGGCTTGAGCCTGGCAGGCGGAGGTTGCAGTGAGCTGAGATTGCGCCATGGCTCTCCAGCCTGGGCGACTGAGTGGGACTCTGTCTCAAAAGCAACAACAACCACAAAAAGACCCCAGAGAGCTCCCTGCTCCTTCTGCCATGAGAGGATACAGTGAGAACATGCCTAACTGCGAACTGGGAAGCAGCCCTCACGGACACAGAATCAACTTGAGGCCTTGGTCTTAAGACTTTTAGCCTCCGAAACTCTAAGAAATAAAGGTTTGTTGTGAAAGCCACCTAGGCTATGGTATCTTGTTCTAGCGGCCTATACAGATTAGATTCAAATTTTAGAAATACTACTCAGAACTGAAGGAAAGACAGTATGATGCATTGAAGAGACTTCTGTTTTTTTTTTTGAGAAGGAGTTCCGCTCTTGTTACCCAGGCTGGAGTGCAATGGCGCAGATCTCGGCTCACCGCAACCTCCGCCTCCTGGGTTCAGGCAATTCTCCTGCCTCAGCCTCCCGAGTAGCTGGGATTACAGGCACGCGCCACCATGCCCAGCTAATTTTTGTATTTTTTTTAGTAGAGACGGGGTTTCACCATGTTGACCAGGATGGTCTCGATCTCTTGACCTCGTGATCCACCCGCCTCGGCCTCCCAAAGTGCTGGGATTACAGGCTTGAGCCACCGCGCCCGGCCGAGACTTCTGTTTTTAAGAACCTCCCAGAATCACTGTGGGGAAGAAGAAATAGTCTAGCTGAACTTTCAGGAACAATTCCCAAAAAACTCAGCCAAGAAGGGAGCTGCTGCCTCTGGCGTGATCAGGAGGATCAGGAAGCTGTTTCACAACAGCGGGCGTCCAGGCAGGTGGCTGCTGAAGACTGCAGCCCGCAGGGTAGCCCAGGTCAGAGGGACAGCAGCCGGGCCAGGGCCAGGACAGTGGGGTGTGGAGGGGCAGAGCATGAGTGGCTCAGCCAGGGGGAAGAATCTACAAAGTGACTTTGGGTGGAGATGTGGGAAGAGTAAGGGATGACACCCAGGTTTCTGGCATCAAGCACCAGGTGGGACAGTAGCGGCCGATCATGAAGATAGGAACAGAGGATTTCAGGAGTCAGAGGTATGTGTGGGCCATCTAAGGCACCAGCTGGAGTCAGGGCATAGACACAGTGAACTGAAGCCAGGGTGGGAGGGAGTCCTCCAAGGAGGGAGCTCAGCAGGAAGAGGGGTGGTGGAGCAAGCCTGAGCATCACGGAAACACTCAGGACAGGGACAGAAGCTTAGACCAGTGAGACCGGCAGAGAAGCAGCAGAGAGAGACCAAGGAGAACGCAGTCTCAGGAAACGGAGGAAACAGAAGCCGACAGTGTGAGTTACTGCTGAGGGATCAGCCGACAGGCACTGAGGATCCACAAAGCAGCTGACGGGGCGCTGCAGTGAGACGAGAGGGAAATTGGGCAGGGAACACCGCACTAAGCTCAGGAAGACAACAGTGCCCAAGGGCCTTGCTGCGTTTAAACTGGAGCTCCTGGCCATGATTGTTTAAGGAAAAGAAAAAAAGAGAGAGAGAGAGAAAAAGAGGAATAAACATTGGAAGGAAGGAAATAACAACATCACTATTTGTATAAACATTCACATAGGTCACAGACTGATTCACAAAGCATCAGCAAATTATTAGAAGTAATTAGAGGTGAGCAAAGTTAATAGATAAAAGATCGACTTAAAAGAATCCGTATTTCTCCATGCCAGCAACAACTAGAAAATACGACAGAAAAATAAGGTACCATTGTAATGGCAACAAAAACTATAAAGTATTTAGGAACCGACTGAGGAAAGAATATACAAGGCCTCCATGCAGAAAAATGTTCAATTGTTAAAAGAAGTAAAATGAGATCTGAATAAACAAGACATTCTATGGTTTGGGATAGGTCAATTTAATACGAAGACTTTTAACTCTCCCTAAATTAAATGCAGTCTCATCACTGGTTTTATTATTATTACTTATTGAGCCCGGGAGACGTAGGTTGCAGTAAGCCGAGATTGTGCCACTGTACTCCAGCCTGGCCAACAGAGTGAGATTCTGTCTCAGAAAAAAACAAAAACAAAAACCCAGAGAAGTCGAGTGCAGTGGCTCGTGCCTATAATCCCAGAACTGTGGGAGGCCAAGGAGGGCAGATCACCTGAGGTCAGGAGTTCAAGACAAGCCTGGCCAATGTGGTGAAACCCTGTCTCTACTAAAAATAGTAGAGACTCTACTAAAACCCTGCCTCTACTAAAAAAAGTAAGACTTGAAACTTATTTCAAATGCATATAAAAGAATAATGGTGCACAAATAGCTAACTCTGCATTACACTGAGAAAGAAGGCAAGAGGAACTTGTTCTGTGAGGTAACAAACCTGTACAGCAGCGGCATTCAGAAAAAGATGAATGCAACAGAAGACGGGACAGACCCAAGGGCACAAGCAAACGTGCTGTCTAATGAAGGCTGCCCCATACGCTAATGAGGAAATAAACCCTTGGTAGTGGTTCCATATAAGGAGAAAAAAGTTAAAAATGAATTTCCACCCAATACTATACATAGAAGTGAAGCCCAGATACATTAAAGACCTACACGTGAAAGGTAAAACCATAAAGCAAATAGAAGAAAATGTGGAAAAATATCTTTGTGACTTGTGGAAGAAAAAAAATTCTTTTTTTTTTTTTGAGTCGGAGTTTCGCTCTTGTTACCCAGGCGCGAGTGCAATGGCGCGATCTCGGCTCACTGCAACCTCCGCCTCCTGGGTTCAGGCAATTCTCCTGCCTCAGCCTCCTGAGTAGCTGGGATTACAGGCACGCGCCACCATGCCCAGCTAATGTTTTGTATTTTTAGTAGAGACGGGGTTTCACCATGTTGACCAGGATGGTCTCGATCTCTTGACCTTGTGATCCACCCGCCTCGGCCTCCCAAAGTGCTGGGATTACAGGCTTGAGCCACCGCGCCCGGCGAAAAAAAATTCTTAAATGAAGACCTCAAGGCACAAACTTACATATGTAATGTGTAAAACATTAAAAATTATCAAAACTCTGTTGTTTGCAGTAGATTCTTCCAGGTAACAAAGATAAAATGAGAAGAAATGACTATTCTTTTTTTTTAAAAAAAAAAAAGAAAAAAATTTACTTTTAAAAACAGGGTTTTGCCATGTTGGCCAGGCTGGTCTCGAACTGCTGACTTCAGGGGATCCACCTGCCTCGGCCTCCCAAAGTGCTGGGATTACACACACGAGCCACCACACCCGGCCAAGAGATAACTGTACCTTAAGATTATTCACTTAGACATAAATATGGTCCATGCGTACAGGGAATAGAACGGGTGGCTTTAATTTTACATTTCAAGAAACCATTAAAGCCCTGGGTTCGTTCTATGCATTTTTTACCCCATCAATGCCGCCACTTCAGTTCTTCACACACTTTTACCAAAGTACACATTAACCTCCCAAATACCTGAAAGTATAGCTAAGTATCAAGAGACTCATCAATTATAGTAAGCTTATAATACTTGCAAGACTTTCTAACTAAAAGAACGGATTTTACTTTCTTTAAAATTAGTGCTATATCCTGAATCCTAAGTGAATCGGCCAAGAGAGACAGAATTAAATTAAAACACAGGAGTTTCAAAAGGTGTATTAAATGCATCTATTACAGTTATCATAAGCACAACTGAATGCAATTAAAATAATGTATAACGCAAATCCAGTTGAAATCTCAAATAACTCTAAAAGCTTAGGGCTACATCTCAACTTTTATGTCACTACTGACAGCTTCCATAAGAGCTAGAATGGATACCTCAGAATTCAAACATACTAAGAACAGTCTTTAAAAAAAAAAAAAAAAAAAAAATCAGCATTTGTTCTGAAATGAGTTGCCTCAAACTTGAAAGTAATAGCTGGGGAAATACCCAAATTTGGGGCATCATAACCTGAATACTTAAATTGTCACAGATTTAGTAATAGAAATCTATTAGGTACAGCATTTGCAACCCCCTAATGAAGGATATTTTCTTAATTTAAAAATTCATTCATGTTTCTAGCTCTTTTTCTACCATGGTACTCTGAATTTGGCCTTTCTCCAGAGCCAGTAAAACCTGCTAAAAGCGGCTCACACTTGTAATCCCAGAACTTTGGGAGGCCAAAGTGAGCAGATCATGAGGTCAGGAGTTCAAGACCAGCCTGGCCAACACAGTGAAACGCTGCCTCTACTAAAAATACAAAAATTAGCTGGGCATGATGGCGGTCACCTGTAATCTCAGCTACTCAGGAGGCTGAGGAGGAGAATTGCTTAAACTCAGGAGGCGGAGGTTGCAGTGAGCCGACATCATGCCACTGTATTCCAGCCTGGGCAACAGAGCTAGATTCCGTCTAAAAAAAAAAAAAAAAAACCTGCTAAAAAGTGAAAAATGACATAACTTCTTTAATATGTTATTTAATGTATTCAAATATTTCTTCTGTAAGCCAAAGTGCCTCCCAACCCCCACCATCTACCTTTGATATATTTCAGAAAATGCAATGGTACAATATAGTAATCCATAGGTATTCTAAATGTATTAGATTAATTAAAAATACCTTGAACAACCACCTGGCTGCCTGGGACAAAGAACTGCTGTGTGCCATCAGCTGATTGTGCTGCATACTGTACAATCGTAGCTCCTGGTGGAGGAGCTCCTGGATTTGTCATTGTTAATGCCTGCAGTCCCTGAACACCATCAGATCCTGGGTTAGAGATCTGGATTGTTCCACCTTGGGCTATAGCAACTTAACAGAAAAAGAAAAAAAATATTAGAGAATTTCAAGATTTATTTTTAATAATCCCATATTGGAAGAATATACTCTGAGTCTATTTATTGCCATTGCTTCTTTCTCAGGTCACCCTTATTTTCTATGCTGTACTGGGAAGGAAGAACAGCTTCTTCATGGGATAATACTCCAGAAAAACCATATAAACACCGGAAAATAGCTGATACCAGAACTACTTGAGATTCATGGAGCCCATGGAGTGTTTCTCCTCCTTAGCATGCAGCTAACTACATACTGAAGAGTGGAGCAGCATACAGGGGAAGTCCAGCTTCCTGGTTTGTTCCATTCTCTCAGATGTTTTTCCTTATAAACACGATTCTTCTACCACTTAAAATTTCCATTTAAGGCCAGGTGTGGTGGCTCGGGCCTGTGATCCCAGCACTTCGGGAGGCCAAGGCAGGAGGATCACCTGAGTCCAGGAGTTTGAGGCCAGCCTGGGCAACATAGAGAGACCCTGTCTCTTAAAAAAAAAAAAGAAGAAGAAAAAAGAAAAGAAAGAAATTCCCATCTAATACTGCAATTAAAATGAATTTGTACCTTCATTCAGCTAACTACTTTTCTAATTTATCATCAAAAGAAAGTAGTTTTTAAGAAATATGGAGGCTGGGCACAGTGGCTCACGCCTGTAATCCCAGCACTTTGGGAGGCTGAGGTGGGCAGATCACCTGAGGTCAGGAGTTTGATGTGGTGAAACCCTGTCTCTACTAAAAACACAAAAATTAGCTGGGTGTAGTAGCGGGCGCCCATAGTCCCAGTTACTCAGGAGGCTGAGGCAAGAGAACCCAGGAGGCGGAGGTTGCAGTGAGCCGAGATCACGCCACTGCACTCCAGCCTGGGCGACCGAGAGAGACTCTGTTTCAAAAAAATAATAATAATAATAATATCTTTATATATACACGCACACAGACATAGATGCATAACATATTTTGGTTATAAAGCTGAAGCCTAGAAAACTGTAACCTCTGTCATTTTGTCTGTGTCAGAAGAATCCTGAAATATAAAAAGTTAAGTTGGAAAGGTCCTTAAAAAGTAACTGTAGTAATATGTGCTACAGTATTTACCTCCATCAAGTACCTCAAATAACTACAGCTAATGGCAACAAATACGAGGTAGATTTCCTATATAATACTAACGTTTGCCAGTCATGTTTAACGGTTAACATACTAATTGACTTAAGTCTTCCAAAGAATAACTGATCAAATGTTTCATTTCAAAATTTCACTCTAATAGACAAATAAGCACTGTTCAAAACATTTGAAAGGTCCGCATATTTTAACATAAAGATTCCAACTGCATGCTTTAAACAGTAGATATTAAATGGTACCAGAGGCTATGCTTAAAAAAAAATGCACATATAAACTAGCTAACTAGACTTTACAATGAAGATTTTAAAAACATCACCAAAATAACATGACATCTATACATCAATGTAAATTACTTACAATAGCATAACAGCAGTGTTAAAATACACTCTGGATATTTTCAAGTCATTTCCAAATGGTTTTAACGGCATCTAGGCAAAAAGGTACTTAAGCGATAACCTGCTAGGACAAACCTATCAGAACTATAGAACGAGTAACAAATTTTCACTTCTTTGACCTAAGGTGCCAGCGTCTACAGAGGAAGACAGACTGACGTTTTTAAAAAGATTTCCACACACTGCATTCTTAGTGTTTTAGTTCAGTGACAGGCCCGTGTGGCTGGCAGAAGCTGAAGAGTCAGTTACAGACTGTCAGCAGAGCTCAGGCCGAGACATCCTGATGTAACAGCACTTCATCCAGCTCATCTAGAGCAGTATTTTCTGTACACATTTTAAAAACAGGGTACTTTAAAACGACGGCTTTCCAAATATTTCACGGGTCTCAGGATTCAGCCCTCATCTAACTAAACTCTTACAAGTATGAAAATGTCAAGAGACACTAATTTCTTGGCCCTTCGTGGCTAGACATGAGTAAATTTTGTATGTTGTCATGTATTTGAATGTGTATTTTTCAGTTGATAATTCGTTTGATGTCACAGAAATAGTGCTTGAGAAAGAACAGCCTAAGGGTAGGGTAGCCACAATGTGTTAAAAGTACAAAGCCTAGAAAAGAGCTGCCATTCAAGAAACTGAATGAATGAATGAATGAATGGCTATCATTTCCTCATGACAGATGATACCATAAACAACTTAAGCCACCTGTGAATCTAGGAGAGTTAAATGAGGTACGGTTTCAAATTCCAATCACAGAATCTAATTTTTCAACACCAATAAAATTATCAAGATTTTAAATAACGATTGAGTTAATCTGAGGTGAGAGCAGCTGCCTCTAAAGGTAAGAGCCCCTAAAAAGGTAGGTAACAAAGATCTTTACTTTCTTTTTTCTCCTCTTTCTTTTTGCTTTTCTCATTTCCTTTCTTTTCAGTAATGTTTCCCCATAGTTCCGATCAAAACAACTTTGTTTTCACACTATGAACAGCTGACACATCAAGAATCTGTTTCTCGCATTTTATTTTCTGGTGATGTCATTATATAATTAGATGTGGAAAACAAAAGGTAAACACACACACACACACACACACACACACACACACACACACCCCTCACACGTTGGCGCTAGGGAGAAAACATTTCTACTGGTAAATCAGGCACATTAGCCTCATTTTCATTTTTTGTACCAAAGGTGCTCTTGATTTTGTTATCAAATGACAGAGGACCTTCCCACTGAAAATGTTCTCTCTCATTTGAAAATAAACAAGATTTCCCAATGCCTCAGGATCCTGGAAATAGGTTTTATGTGGGCCTGTTTGTATTCAGAGATTTGAGGAGAAAACTGTTTAGGTTTCAAAATAATCAAGGATAGCCTAACATGTGCTTTCAGTAAACATAAATCAATAGTGAGAAAAAATTAGATGAAATTAACTAATGAATTTAGATACTTCTATTTTAGCTAATTATGGTTTTTTTTTTTTTGAACCTACAGAAATTTTCTGGCAAACACAAAAGTAGAGAGAATTTTTTGTCATCCATTTACCCTGCCCACTCACCCTGCCCCTACCCCCGGCCTTTTAAAAAAATTATATGGAAGCTGGGCAGATGGCATGTGCCTGTGGTCTCAGGTCCTTGGGAGGGTAAGGTGGGAGGATCACTTAAACCCTGGAGTCTGAGGCTATAGTAAGCTGTGATTACACCACTGTACTCCAGCTTAGGAGACAGAGCCAGGCTCTGTCTCGATTAAAAAAAAAAAAAAGTGTATATATATATATATATATATATATATATATATATATATATACATATATACACACACACACACACACACACACACACACATATCTGTATTTCAAAACAAATCCCAGACATCAAGTCTGGCTGATCATTTTTTTTAAAATGATCCTGTGTAATGGACAAAGACAAGAAAGATGAATTTTTAAGGGCAGAAAGGGCCCAGCCTGGTGGCTCATGCCTGTAATACCAGCACTTTGAAAGGCCAAGGCAGGAGGACTGCTTGAGTCGGGAGTTCAAGACCAGCCTGGGCAACATGGCAAGACCTCTGTCTCTACAAAAAAATACAAAAATAAAGTTTAAAAATTATTTACAAAATAAATTTTTTTAAAATGTAAAAGGTGGAAAATGGAAAAGAGTCCACGACAATGTGGAAATAGAAAATATATAAAATTTCATCTCAACTCTCTTTTTACTTGATGCTTTTACTTATGTATATAAGAGATGGGGTCTTGCTACATTACCCAAGCTAAACTGCTAGGCTCAAGCAATCTTTCTGCTTCAGACCCCTCAGTAGCTGGGACTACTGGCACAAACCACCAAGCCTGGCGATGTTGTATACTTCTTATTTATTTATTTAGAGACGGAGTTTCACTCTTCTCACCCAGACTGAAGTGCAATGGTGTGATCTCAGCTCAATGCAACCTCCACTTGCTGGGTTCAAGTGATTCTCCTGCCTCAGCCTCCTGAGAAGCTGGGATTACAAGCATGCACCACCACACCCAGCTAATTTTGTATTTTTAGTACAGACGGGGTTTCACCACGTTGGCCAGGCTGGTCTCAAACTCCTGACCTCAGGTGATCCACTGCCTCGGCCTCCCAAAGTGCTGGGAATACAGGTGTGAGCCATCACACCCACCTGACATTATATACTTCTAATCCTAAACTTACACCCATGAGCTAATTAAAATACATAAACATGTAAATGTTTATATTTAAAACCACTCTTGTTCCAAATTGCAGTCCAATGATTCATAAATGAAATCTCACTGTGTTAACTTTAAAAACAACAGCAGACAGGCCTTTGTTCCAATGAATTCTCATGTTTAAATTCAGAGTGACCATAAGAGAGTACCTATCAGTACCTGAACCTTAAAAGCCAAGAGGTGCATACAGCAGAAGGAAGACTAAATCATGCTATAAAAAGAATAGCAACACTAAAGTTTAAAAGGCAGAGTTACATTAAGTAGTGCCTTAAACAATTTTGAAACAGTTACCTCGGAGAAATGTAAACAACGTCACTATTAAGAATAAGAACTGCAACTGGATGAACTCTCGAATGTGTAAGACAATCATGTTCCAATTCCCTTTATGAAGAAGTGGAATTGGTGTTTATTTGTGAGCCTCCTGAGAATTCTGAATTCTTATAAGCAGTTCACAAAGTTCACATTTTTCTTTTCAAAGTGGTGCATGTAGGCTTGACCCACTACTTACCTTTCATGTATAAGAATTCCAAAAAGATGAGTTAATAGAAACTCTAGTAGGATTCCTAGTAAAACACAGTAGGAACAAGCAGAGACAAGGGACATTTAAGGAAAAAAAAACTGAAGTCTTAGGTGATAGTCTTTAATTGGTACAGGAAGAGGTTGGGTATAGCAGAATGGGAGATTTAAGAAATCTTTGTTTCAAGAGAAAATTTAATGAATTATGAAATTTCAATCATTTTAATTTCCTCAGTTGCTTTTACAAATTCACTCATTTAAAGCACATCTTAACTGTCTTATGCAATAAGGAACATTCTTTGTTAATTATTTATTATTATTATTATTATTATTATTATTGAGACGGAGTCTTGCTCTGTCGCCAGGCTGCAGTGCAGTGGCACGATCGTGGCTCACTGCAACCTCCACCTTGCAAGTTCAAGTGATTCCCCTGCCTCAGCCTCTCAAGTAACTGGGACAACAGGCACGCACCACCACGCCTGGCTAGTTTTTTGTATTTTAGTAGAGACGGGGTTTCACCACGTTGGCCAGGATGGTCTCGATCTCCTGACCTTGTGATCCACCTGCCTCAGCCTCCCAAAGTGCTGGGATTACAGGCGCAAGCCCAGCCACTCTTTGCTAATTCTAGGGCTCTCTCTGTCCTGCCATCTCTTGGATATATGCTCCTGAAATAAAAAACTTTCTTTGTCCAGCATCGCTCAACTGTTACACAGTAAACCTACCACTAAGATCTGTACTTGCAGTGAGGATTCTGCAGGTACAGCTCACTTACTTGGTGTTGTAATAGTGAAATCCTATTTTACGTTCTTTTTCCTATTCCCCAGGGAGTAGCTGATTCCAACTTTCAGTCCTTAGTTTTTGTGATAATAGTAAGTTAAAATAATAAGGCCAACTTCTGCCAAATATGTTTCAACTATTAAAAATGTAACTGCTTGTTTATGGGAAAACTTCAATATACCTTATTTCTTCAACTTTGATATGCATTTAGTTCTTTTTTAATACTAGCTAACTCATTATGCCAAATTAAAAATACTAATCTTTGAAAAAAAGCAATAAAAGCAAAGTTTGGGAGAAAGCCATTCATGGATAAAAACTGAAGAATTAAACCTAAAAAATTTTTTTATAACAAAAGGTTGTAAAAGAGTATTTGAAAAAAAAACAATTTCCAGCTGAAAGGGAAGACAAAAATAAAAATCTCCAGAAATTCTAGGAAAATAAATTCCTCTATTCTAAAAACCAAAGGACGCTGGCCATTTTTTCCATTTCTAGGCATTCTGGTACAACACTAAAGCATTAATATCTGCTAAGTCGTTCTATAAGAAATAAGATCAATAAAAATGGACTTGTGTGCATAAGTACATGTTTACCCTCTGTCTTCTAAAAAGTTTAAATGTTGTTAGTATTCACTTCTTAAATGAAAAAATTACCTAAGTAATTATCACTAAATGTCTCCAAAATGCATTTTTAACAAAAGATGTTCACTTTGTGTGAACCAATAAATGGCAATTTTTACCTGTAGACTGTACATACAGAACTATAACTTCTCATTAAAATAATTTCTAAGCTCATACTGTACAGGCTCAAATTAAGACACTAAAGTAAGAAATAGTCCATGACTTCCTATGTGGCAAATAGACAGATATGTGTGTGTGTGTGTGGTTTTTTTTTTTTTTTTTGAGACAGAGTCTTACTCTGTTGCCCAGGCTGGAGTGCAGTGGTGCAATCATAACTCACTGCAGTCTCAACCTCCTGGGCTCAGGCAATCCTCCTGCCTCAGCCTCCTGAGTAGCTGGGATGAGCGCGTGCCACCACACCCTGCTAATTTTTAAAATTCCTTTGTAGAGACAGGGTCTCACTCTAGTATTTCCCAGACTGGTTTCAAACTCCTGGCCTCAAGCAACCCTCATGCCCAGACCTCTCAAAGTGCTGGGATTACAGGTGGGAGCCATCACCCCTGGCCTAATATCTAATTTCTAAAGATGCAGTTTTCTAGTTCTCAACCAGAACTCCTGATTCCGCTCCTCCCATCCCCCCACAGACACAGAGAGCGAGGTTTAATGACAGCCCCCTCATGTGAGCAGGCACCAAGGACACAGAGAATGAAGGCACTGGGGCTGGCTGGAGGGAAAGTTCAATGAACATGAATGAGACTTTGCCACAGCCAACTTAATTTCTCTGTTTCGTGCCAATAGTAATGTCTTTTCCCCCGACTTTTACCTGTTATCTCCTCCGTCTTCATAGGAACCCCAGAATTTAGCAATTTAGTATTATTCCCACTTCAAAGACTAAAACCTGAGATGTGAATTTAATAAAGCTTCTTGCTCTGATCACTGAGTTGACAAATGGCACAAAGATGGTTCTTTCCCCACATCCTCTCCAGCTTCACCCCATACGTTTTCACAATTTCAAATCTTCAGCTAATAATCTAGACAAGTTAACCCTACAGCATCTGCTTCCCTATTAATATGTAAAGGAATCACTGATCCTATCAGAAGTCCTAAGTAGCATTAGGATATGCCAGAGAAATGTTAATATGACAGCATCTTAGTGGTGGCCAACACTTTGAGAAGCCTTAGCATCATTTCAGCAGTCACTTCCAACCTTTTCCCTGTCATGACACAAGCAGAACATGATGATATGTGTACAGCCCACTGGGGTGAGTGGCTGGAGCTGCTCAAGGCCAGCACTGACCAGCCAGGATGCCCCAGCAGCCCCTGCCCAGCCCCTCTGGGGGCAGAGGGATGAGGCGCTCAGCCTTCTCCTAACCTGCGCGCTGCGCTGGAGGCTCATAAGCTGGCATACTCAGATTTAAAACCCACCGGAGATTCCCAGTGTGCCAGACAAAAGAGCATGCAAACGAGAGAAGTAATTTTAAAAAATGACAATGTAAACCTCGAGGTCTATTTCTTACAGATGAGGGGAGTTTTCTTTTCCTAACACTGACTTTAGACAAGTCTACTGGGTGCCCAGCAGAAGCTGTGAATACGGTATGCCCCAGATCTGCTAGGTATCACGGTAGGAGTTCCCCGACAATTACCACCAGAGAATGTCTTTAATAGTTTACAGCTGCAAATCTACCACTGCTTCAAGAAAGACTCTAAAAAGCTCCAAAAACATCATGACTATATAAGGTCTTCCCATATATTAAAGATTACAACTTTAATCTTTAAGTTAGTAGCCAGGTCTTAAATTAAGACTTGAGATTTTTTTCTTGGTATTGCTACTCTTTTTAAAGGAAAAGCAAAGAATATATCTAAAACCTTAATACATCATTTGGATAAACATATTATTTAATATCACATACAGTCCAGTACCTAAGTAGCTCTTTTTAAAGTCAGAAAACTAAAATCATGAATGTCTTCAACTACATGATTGCTGTCAATATATTCAGTCATTTACTTCGAGAGCCTAGGGTAGCAGAGTTTACAAAAGTCGCTTTACTTCATATTATAATTACATGGGAAATTGATGTGGACAATTTCCAGGGACAATTTATACTTTAGAAAAGACAGGAATATCACATTATTCCAGTAACTAAGCAGCTACTTAGGATATGTGATATCCCTATCCTTTCTCCTCCTTTTTCTTTTATTTCTAGCTCTTGTTTTCTACTATTTTTACGTATCAAACATTCCTGATTTAGGACAAGAACTAGTGCTTTAATCAGAGCAAAAAGCACAGAATTAATAGTCCATTAAAATGCACAAGACTGAATGTAAATGTATCTGTTTATTTAGAGCTTCTGGTGCGTAAAATTTCAAATAAAATTATCTATCCAATTGCTACAGTTTAAAAAATTAAATCATTTTTCCATTCTCTTTTAGGAAAAACTGTAGCACAAATTAACAGAGTAGAGAGTAGTGAAAACAGAATTACATTGAAAACATTCTTTAGAAAACTCTTAGGTTAGTAAGTAAAATATGTAATTGCTGGTAACAAAAGCCAACAAGAATGAAATACAGACATTTACGTTTGCATGCATCATAAACACAACAAAAACAATGTTTTACTAGAGATTAATATAAACACGTAAAAAGGAAAAAATTCTGCCTTTATTTTTACCCAAAATTTTCTATTTTCAGTAGTTAAAATTTTTACTTTTCAAAATTATATGACAATGGTCAATACAAATATCTCACTTCTAAACATATACTTTCATTCTCTGATACAGTTTAGGTACTAATGATGCATTTTAAAATGGAAAAATGTAATGCCAACACCTGAGTTGCTTCAATAGAACTAGAGAAGACTTAAAGCTAGCGCTGTATCTTATCGCATTGCAGCATACATACTGTATTGCCCCGTGCTAGTCTGATATATGCTAGTTGGTACTGCCATGGTAGCAATGTTAGGTGGTGTTCCTTCTTCCTCTGATTTTTCTTCTTCAATCTTGGGAACACCAGACACATCAGAGGACAGTTCATTCAGTATTTTTCTAAAATGTAATTTAACAATGTTAAGTCACTAAGATATATGAATGAGTCTTAAAACAGAAAAGCTATAAAGGAAGAATTTATTTCATGTATAATTATTCTACCGTTTTGGAAAAAGTATCTTTACAGTAGGAAACCTGGTTAACTTACCTGTAAGAGGGTCTTCGTGAAAGGATTTCTCTACGTTTATGAGAATCAATTACACCTTCTGATTCTGCAGATTCATCTGTCTCTGCAATTGTTGCTACCTATAATACAAGATTTTCTGAAATGCATCACAAAATATATGCTATTTTCCCTCATTTAAAAACTGGAGGTTAAGAGTCTGCCTGTGCAGCACTGAGCCAGGCACTGTGGAAGCAACCGAGCGACAGAACCCAGTGAATCTGCACTAACGGAGCCCTCGGTCTGGCTCAAGAGAGGAAGCACAGACACACATTTCAGTTATAAAACAAGTATGTGTGGAAAGGAATGATATGGGTAATACATGCTATAGAAATACAAGGGAAAGAGTGGTTGGGATGCCAAATGAGGCACTGCAGAAAAGAACAAAATGTAAAAGACCTAAGACCTAAACTCCTCAACCTTAAAGTGCTCCTACGGACCCAGTGGGGAGCCAGCGGGGAGCAAAGGCAGAAGAGAGTTCCCGGAAGACACTGCTCTCCCCACACTCTCACAGCTGGCGCTGGTGTGAGCTGGGTCTTCACATCAGCCATCAGGCCCACAGACAGGATATGTAAGCAGAGAAGCAAGTCGGTAAGCAAGTCTGGGGAAAGGTAGGATTTCTGTTACAAGCAGTAAGTTAAGGCTTGCTGGCAAGTAGATCTTGAAGATCCAAATAAAGAATTTCTCCTTAAGAGAAAGATAAGAGTTTTAAGCATGATTTCATTTTTCAAGTCAAGTAATGATACAGCGATTTGATTATTAAAGAAGTCAGAACACTAAAATAATGAATCTCTTCAACAATATGACTGCTTTCGATATATTCAGTCCATTATTAAATACTTTGAGGGCCTAGGGTAGCAGAGTTTACCAAGCTCACTTTACTTCATATTGTAATTACATGGGAAACTGATTTGGACAAAATCAAAAGAGCTTATTAAAATATCAACAATGCAGGCAAGAACATACACTTCCCAAAGCACATGGGAGGTATGTACATACTGACCTCCACATATGACTGCATCTTTGCTCATGAACCCCACACATGAACACACATACCCAATGAACAGAACTTACTGAAAAAAAAATGTTGTTGCCTCAGATAATCATATATCACCACCAAATACTTATGACTTTACAGCAGGCTCTCACACATGTGTCATAGAATCGTAACACCTCCCTTAGGTGAGGTATGCTACTAATTTACCTGTTTTAGAAAGGTGAAAATTAAAGCTCATGCAGAGAGATTAAGTGGCTTGACCATGATCCAACAGTAAGTATTCTAGGACCAAGATCCACTAGCACCTCTCTCCACAAGACAATTAAATCATTCACTTAACAAAACCCAAACAAAGTCTCCTGAATATAAGATAATAGTTTCTTTCAGCTGGGTGCTGTGGCTCACACCTGTAATCCCAGCAATTTGGAAGACTGAGGCAAGAGGATCACTTGAGGCCAGGGGTTCAAGACCAACCTGGGCAACATACTGAGAATTCTGTCTCTATTAAATAATAATAATAATAATAAATAATAACAGACAATACTTTCTTCCAATACCAGCCAGGTTGAAACTAAATAGAAATAGTCATAAAACAAAGAAGCAGCTGGAAAAACTTTCTTGTTTTATAATTAGTAACAGACAAAGAGTTAGAAACTCTTGGAATCAAGGGTCATCATAGGAAAAAAAAAAAACAATGATGAGAATTATTCTTAAACTTATGGGCAACACAGGAGAAGACACCCATGCAACAAAGATAATCAAGCTTTTCATGTATGTGAATGTCACGTCAGGAATCTTGTTGCAACTCTCATCCTTCTGTGATAAACGACTTGAACACACAGGAAAAGAACTACACTACATATGTGTGTCTCCATTTTCCTCACAGATTTTTTTTTTGTCATCAATTAGTCTCAAATAATTTAAGCATTTAAAGGATAACAAACTGACCTTAAAAAGGAACAGAAATAAATTCAGTAATTAAGATAAGTATGCTTTAAAAAATACATACTTGATAATTTACATCTATTGATGGAAAAAATGTTTCACCTTCAAGAAATGTTAAGGGTAAAATACATCTCTGGATCACAGCAACAATAATAATATTATCTACAAATGCCAAAGTTTAATCTCAGAGGGATACATCAATAACATCATCTTACTAAGAATTACATATACTGAATTTAAAATAAATTTCTATCTACCTACTAAGGTGACTATCCATGAAAACAGCATCAGTACTATAATCTTTTTTTTTTTTTTTTTTTTTTTTTTTTTAAATAGAGATGGGGTTTCGCCATGTTAGCCACGCTGGTCTTGAATTCCCGACCTCATGATCCACCCACCTCAGCCTCCCAAAGTGCTGGGATTACAGGCGTGAGCCACCATGCCCGGCCAGCACTATAATCTGTTTATTACTGTGTTTATTGACATCTTCTCTGAGGAATCCTCAAAATATTTTTAAGCACCTTTGGGGAGCATTGCTAAATAAATCTGACTCTGAACACGGAACAGCAACGTGAAGAAGACATGAACTGCTCATCTGGCAATTCCTCAGTCTCCAGATTAAGAGCTGACAACAAAGCTGCAGCTCTCAAGTGAAACCTACATACCTAGCAGGACACAGAGCACCTTACGCAAGGAAAAGGGATTCCTCCAAATATCTAACCGAAAGATTTGAGCATAAAAGCTTCACAAAGAAAAATGATAAATGAATTAGTGAAAGAGGAAAAAAAAAAAGAAAGGCTCAAAAAAGTCAAAGACAAATCACCCAGGAAGGAAGCTAACCTGAACAGTGTGTATTTGTGGTGACTGAATAACCGATGGCTGTGGTGTCTGAATTACTCCCTGGACATGTACAGTTTGGCCCGAAGGTAACTGCACTAGAGTTACAGCTGGAGAGCCTCTTCCGGTGCCTGATCCAGCTACAGAAACCTGCAAAAATGATCATCATTGAGGATTAAAGCTGGACCCTTTTGTTATTGTTTTTGCTTATTTTTAAGCAATACCATTCACTATTATGGCTGGCCTACTTCTTTTTCCTGTTCCAGAGAAATGACAAACCAGCTGGGGTACTTACCATTGGGAGGCGGTTACTGTCCTGGAACAGTCATTTTCTGATGTGACAGATTATTAAAGAACACATGCTCCTTATTACTTTTGGTGCCCATACTTGAGTGGCTAAGAATGTTCCAACCACAAAGTTCTAAAGCAGTTAAACCACCTCACTACGACCTCACGCCTACTAACAGTGAAGCCTTTCTTATGCCAGAGTATAAACTACCCTCTCTAACTTCTTCAGAGAAATTGGAGATAGAACTTAAAATATGGTGAATGATTTTTATTAAACGTGTGACATGATATTCTAGTATTACTCTTAGATGTGAGCTGATGCTTTGTCTCTAGACTGATAAAAATCAGTCACTGGTATGCCCTCATAATCACTAAAAAGGCACAGGCCAAAGAAATTCCAGGACCTTTCAATTCCTTGGTGTCTCTGACCCAGAGAAAGCTCATGCCTTGAAGGCTGGTGAGGCCTCTGGACACTTTTCCGCTCCCAGCTCAAGCATCCAAAGAGGCCAGAACTATTACTTAGCTTTGGGCAGAAATCAGCGACAACAACCATCTCCTCACTACTTCCCTGAGTTCCTTCAACAGAGATCCCTACCAGAAAACACGATACCGCCACTCCTCTGGACTCAAAACCTGCCAGGTTTTCTAATTAGTAAACAACTCTGTCCTATAGGCCAGCATAATTTCAGAAACTTTGCCTCATTTTACTAAGATTCACTATTCATTATAACTTACTCAAGTCAAAGACCTTGGAAATGAATTAAGTCACCAGTTTCTATCATGAGTGGGAGCAGAACCACAGGATCTAAAACAATTTTAAAGGAAGCCTTTGTATGTGACTTCACTTTAAGGAACACCAATGATTTCCAACTTACATTAAAACCTGAAAACAATTATTAAAAACTAGGTTTATAACAAATAACTAAGATTTATTTATGTCATCATTCCCTTGGAAAACTTCTCTGGCAATCCAAAAGTTAAAACATGCTTTATCCGTGTAAGAGACCCTAGGTATTCAGCATTGTACTAGGTGCACTAGTAGAAAAGAGAATTAATGAAACCAGCACCTAAGAAACAATGGCACATCAAATATTATAGAACTGATTGCTCCATTTTAGAGGCCGTGAGTACCACAGGAGTACAGAATAGAGAGATCAGTATGGGCCCAAACAGTCAGTCAGTGAAGGCTTTGTGTGGATGCCAGAGCCTGAGTGAGGCCTTGATCTAAACCTAGATAACAGCTGGACAGATAGTGAGAAACCAGGGCAGAGGCAACCAACGTGTAACCCACGGGGAAAATTCAGCTTGCCCACCCCCAGACTATTAAGTCCACTTTAGATTCCAGGGAAAAGAAAAACATTATCCCATGATGGAACCAGCAGATTTAACAACTACAAATTTTAAAACATTGGATTTATTCTACAAATGTTTCCAGCACAAAAGGCAACTCTGTATGAATTATAAGAAGGCAACCACCTCTGTGGTGACTAATTTCTAAAAGATAACTCTTTCTCCATACAACTAATTCTTAAATATTTCAGTCTCAGGGCAACTTTGCACTCTTAAAAATTACTGATGACCTCAAAGAGCTTGTGATTCTGTGATTTATATTCAGCAGAGGCTGTTAAACACTTAACTAGATCTTAAGGAGGAACCCTGACTTGTAGTATTTGCTGATTTCTGTAATATAAATACTCCTACTATGGCTGATTTCAAGCTGCCAATGGATCACATTGAACACAAAGCTGGATAAAGATTATACAACTGGCTTTCACTGGTACAAGCCAGCTGTGCATATCACTGGTTAGACCTGTTGATATTTAACATATTGGAAATAAAAACAAATTTTAAAAATACTCTGTAACTCATTTTAAAATAATAAATTATATGCTAACATAAATAACGTTATATGAAAATGATTATATTTTCAAAAACAATGAGAAGACTGGCACTGCTTTATATTTTTACAAATTATTTTAATGTCTGGTTTAATGAAAATAGCTAGATTCTCATATCTACTTCTACAATGAATCTGTTGCAATATGTTGCTTTAGTTGGTATGTGAAGAAAATATGGGCCTCACACAGACTCATGATTTAAAAACGGAGGAATATTATAATAGCTTCTTTAGAAAATCATGGATATTCTTCATTGATACTACCCCAAAAAACTTGACAAGTGGTTGTCTCTTAAGGGTTAATTGCAATGTACAATCTGAGACTGTATCAGTTACATTAAAATAGACTGATCTGTCTTGTACTTTGGATGAATCTTTTACCCATGCAAGATTTTATAAAATGTTGGCTCACTAAGTTCAGCAGATCTTCCAAATGTGAACACATTTCATCACACACTATCATAAATCACATTTCATTAAAGCATAACCAGCTTCATCAGAAAACTATGAATACTGTGAAGCTCACAATGGCAGACACAGATTTTCCAAAATTCAAATTTTTGGCTTAAAAGTTTGTGACGATAAACGCCATGAGTTGGTTCCCTTGAACTGACAAGCTCACTTCATTTGCTTTTGAGAAAATGTCTTCAAGTTTGAATAGCCATCATTTGGCAATTAGTCATTCTTCTGAAGAAAATGATGTTCTGCTGAAAAACAGGCAGGGAATTCATCTTGGCACTCAAATTAACACAAGTGCTTTTCCTCCAGGACTCCGTGGGCCTTCAGTATGCAACAGGGGTGCTTTCTGCAACTGTCCCACTCCAGGACACAGAATATCAAAACAGTATGGACTCAGAGTCAAGATTCAATGTGACTAGTAATTTTTACTGCCTCATCAAAGATATTCTTAAGTAAAACTGACTTAAAACAACGACAAGTGGGTGGCAGTGAATACAATGAACAGCAGTACAGTTTGTGTCACTCACTTAAGTCACCAACAGTTCACCACTCCCCCACTACCACTGCTTTCACACCATCACTACAAATATCAAAACAGAGAAAAAGAAAAAGAACATCTTAACATTACTGTGAAAATGGTTTCGACCTAGCAAGCCTCTTGAAAGTCTCAAGAGTCACCCCCAGGGTTCTGCAGAGCACACTTTGAAAACAGCTGCTCCACACTCATCTAGCCCCTTTAACTTGGCTTTCAGCTTAAAGAACTGCTCAGACAGGCTGAGATTTCAGCTCCAATAGAGCAGCAGAGACAAAATAAACACATCCAGTAACCCTGACAGAGTCCATATGCCAGAGATTGGCAAAATAGAAATTACACTTTATAACTAAATAAAGCAAAAGAAAAAAAAATTAACACAAAGAGAAGATTTCATTGACCAGCTTCTATCTCATCAGCTCAGGAACTGGGACATGATCTTTACAGCCAGATTCCGGGCTGAGTGCTCTGGAGGGCACAGCATCCCACTACCACTTCTGCCACCCACCACTATGTGCAGGGACGACCCACAGGTAAGTAAGGAGAGAAGAGTTGATTTTCCTCTCTGTTCCTTTCCTTTTTTGAAAATGTAGTCACAAGGCTGGGTGGTGGGAATTTTTGAAGTTACTGCATTTTCTCAAATCAAAATAATTTTCTTTTTAGAATTAAGGAGCTCTGAAAGATACCTTGTCAGATACCCAGTGGCTCTCAATGTTTTATTCTTTAAACACACAGAATAAGGTATCTGAAAACAACGAACTTGAAGCTGTAAGGGGGAAACCCAGGAGTCCTACAAATATTCTCACAAACTAGACCTATGGGTTGAGATGGCAGGTGGTGCCCACATTCACTTTTTGTGGGGAAATGCCCCAGCTTCAAAGAAATCAGATTACTCTGGAGAACAGAAAAACAATTCAACAAAGATTCATGGGCCTCTAATAGGTATAAATCATGCTTTATGTTGCTTTAACCATCTTTCAAATACAGTTCTCAAAATTTTAATCAGATAACAGCTCTATCAAAAATGGCTAAATCCTCATGACTATAATCCCAACACTTCGGGAGGCCAAGGCAGGTGAATCACCTGAGGTCAGGAGTTCAAGACTAGCCTGGCCAATATGGTGAAATCCTGTCTCTACTAAAAATACAAAGATTAGCCAGGCTAGGGGTGCACACTTGTAATCCCAGTTACTCAGGAAGCTGAGGCATAAGAATTTCTTGAACCCAGGAGGTAGAGGTTGCAGTGAGTTGACATCACACCATCACACTCCACCAGCCTGGATGACAGAGTAAGACTCTGTTTCAAAAAAAAAAAAAAAAAAAAAAAAGGCTTAGTCAAGAATAGCTGCTGCAGAGAAAGAACTTGTACCCATTAACACAAACCATATCCCTACAGTTCTGAAGATGAGTTACACAGATTCTGTAACCACAGGGAAACTTCTGTACGTCCAACCTCTGAGCAGGGAAAAAGCTAATGAGACAACTTTTTCACTGAACTGCTAAAATAAAGACGGAGAGCCTGCACAAAGGACACACCGAGAGGTGGAATTCAAATGTCTCCTTTTAAAAAAGAAAACCCTTAGATCTGGAGAACTACCATTCCACATTCTCTTTGGCCAAAACCACTTTTTTTTTTTTCCCAATGTGCTTGCAAACAAAGGTCTGTAGTTTGGCCAAAACTTATAAGCAAGAGCATCAAGCTTATAACTATTCTGGTAGCGTTAACAGGGTAACCTCCACCATTATTATTTTTTTAAAAAAATTCACATGCCTTCCTACCTAAGTGCCAACATCTTAGCACTATTATTACACCGAGTGTGTCGGGCTACAGCTGAGGACATGGCTGCCTGTGAAGTAGGGTATGGTACACAGATGGCACAAGGGCAAGGAATGACCCAGTAACATGCACAGTATCCTGAAAGACAAAATAGGTAAATAAAGAGGCATCTTTTTTGATTTGTGCAAGGTGACAGA